AAAAATTAATGGCCTAAAAAATACCGCATCTGTAAAATTCACGATTTCCCCCCCACTGAAAAAAATCAAGTTATTACCATATGCTGAGGTGGCACTAGCAATTTTTTCTAAAGCCAAATTACTACTTTTTCATCACTTTTTTCTCCAAAATGGTTTAAATTTGACTAAAATAAGTCAAATCAACCCTATTTTGTTTAGCCAATTGAAGTCAGTTTTAGCATTTGGCTTAATTGGGCAGTGTTAACTCTACCCCAGTTTGTGTGTCCACATGCATAAGTGTACAAATGACTGACCTTTGGGTTCTTTAAAAAGCCCAGCTTGAACTCTGCGTCCAGAGCCAGGTAATCGGGGTTACTCCTCACGGTGGACACCATGATGACCCGTCTCTCCTGACCCTGAAATTCCTCCACACTGCCCACCTTTATGTCCCGAAAGTTTTTCTTGAACAGCAGTTGCCTCAGTTTTTGAACCTGTGGAGAGAATAAAAAGGGATGTCTGTGCATTTACAGGCCCGTAACCAGCAATTTCAAAAGGGGGGTTCTTTTTCTGAAAAAGTGGACCTTTTTCCATAAAAACTTCATGTACCTAGATCAAATTTTACCCACAGTGGACCTTTTCCCAGCAAAAGTGGCAGTTCTTTAAAACCCCCGAACCCCCCCTGGCTACACGCCTGATTTAATACTCATCCGTTACATTCAGCATTTACTTTATCTTTATCTTATAAAAATGTAATGTTCCTAGGACTCAGAAACGCATAGGCCTATCTATCCATATTAGAATGAAAATCGGGATTTAAAAATAACGGTTAAATAAACTTCTGTTTGAATATGATATTTATTATTCAAAATTGCATGCGTGTCATATGCTGCTATCACGTAGGCCTACTTGTAGCTAAGCTTGATCTTCTAAAGGTTCCAATTAATGTTTTAAATTTGATTTCTGGCCAAGATCTCATGTTTTCAAAAGACGTGTGAAAATAATGTAACAAGTATAGGCCCTACTCCCCAAGCAAAAAGTGTCACCCCCAAATGCAAGTGTTACAGGAAATCATAAACCAACATGTTATTTTTATTCAACTTCTAAAAGAATTTTTTCAAAAAATTTTACTGATTGTTCACCCAGTGAATAAGCTAACCAGAGTAAAACAATCGCATCTGCCTTTTAGTATTTTGTACAATATCCTCTAACACGAAGTACCTGAGGCATGTGTGCGTGACGTAAAAAAGTTCTGTTAGAGGACTGATGGCGTTCCACATACACAGAAGAACGGTGAAAAGATAGTATGAGATCATTTTTGTTTGCAGGGTTATCCCTTCAGTTATCCATTTCAGATAATATCACACACATTCTCAATAAGGCTCTGATCTAGGATTGAGCTGACCATTTGGGGGGGGGGGGGGGGGTTCTGGATCTGGTTCGCATATAGGCCTAACCAGCGTACTGTTGCATTGGCTGTAGGCCTACGAGGAGAAGCATGATCATGCAGGAACACAAATGGGTGGTTATGGTCCCCAAAGATATTCTCGGCAGAATTCCACAAGTTTCTTTTCAGTACTTGGATGTATTGCTCTGCGTTAAGGTTCCCGTTGACCATTGCCAGTTCACCTACACCACAGCAGCCAATACGCTGCGTACCATGACTGAGCGGTACGTGGGTGGGTCTTGTCGACCAGAGGCGGATAATTGGGAAGTTTTTTCTTACCAGCTTGTCGTGTCCGACATAGATATCTTATGATGTAACGTGTTGTGGTCCAATAGTTCTCAAGTAATTAATGTGCCGGCCTCTTTGTATAACGCCGAGGTAAAGAAATTAATTATACAATTATAGGTAGTTAAAGTTTGCGTCATTGACCATACATATAGATAAGAAATAAGTATATAAGCGATACCTTGAGAGGAAGAAGGGAGACATGTAGAGGACAGCTAGAGGAAGCAGCGAAGGAGGAGATTATAAGCGACGGAGTACGGGGCAGACGAGTTAGGAGTTG